GTTATGATACTATACATGAAGTCCTCCACCCCCGGACGTTTCCGCCATCCTTAGTTTGGGGGTGTGACAACTTAATGTTTATACTTAAAACCTGTTTCCGAGTCTATTTTTTTGGATTGGGAGCAGGAAGGATGGGATAAATTCAAACATCAAAGTCAATTGGGTTGGTTGGTTGCAAAACCTCAGCCTTGCTAATTATTGTTTGTAATGTTGTTTTGACTTTTGATTCTAGCATCTTGGTAGCTTAATGATATTAAAAAAGAAGATTGTCATTCCTCATAACATACACATAATGAATGATTGTGTTAAGAAGTTGATGGGTTTAAATTTAGGAAAAAGAAGAGGAGAAAAACCTCATTCAGTTGGTACACACTAGCTAGTTACTGTTTACTGAAAATAAAACATAATAATATTATTCAGATACTTAATTAGGAGACCTTCGATGGTAGTTCCAGGTTGTTGTTATTGTTGTTGTTGCTTAGAAACTGCTCCAGTCTCTCCATCCGAGATCTTTGGAGACCAACAATCTTAGCTTCAAATTCTGCTTCCTCTTGGTCTCCAGGTTCACCAACCTGCATAAAAGAGACATTAGCTATACATCAGATAACTCATATTTTTCTACTTATATATGTGATGTGGTACTTTGCTAAAAAAACAAAACCCAAAATCCGGGCTCCATTACCTTCCTCAAAGATCTTAGGGTTTCCAGATTCTCAGCCAACTCAGCTTCCAATTCCTTGACACTTTTCACATGTTCCGCAATCTGCATAGGTTATCAAAACATACATTAGCTATACATCTGAAAACTCATAGAAAAACATCAAGTTTTCCCAAATTCTACGACTCAAATTTCACCAATCAATGCAATTAAACAAACTCTAGGAGTGTGTGACGAGACCTGGGCACGCACATATGCAGCTGTTTGCTTTCGGAGTTCAATCAGCGCCGCCAACAACGCTTTTTGTTGTTTCCTCTCTGGTACGGGAGAACGCGGTCAAAGAAAAAGAGATGTAAGAAAGGTTGATTAATTATTGCACCATTCTATTAACAATGGAATAAGTTGCACAGGTAACATAAACTACCTTCAAGAACCCTAGACGCCATCAGTTCGCGTTTTTCGAAATCGCTCCAAACGAATGAAAAAAAATTGCTTCACCTTACGTGCCAACACTCCTTTAAAATGGGTTAATTGCATATATATATATATATATATATATATATATATAATTGAGAAAGTTACATGATTGGTCCCTATGATTTTATAGATATTTTGAATTAGGTCCACTTTTTTTAATTGCAACACTCTCTATCCCTATGATTTCAATTGTTTCAATATTGATCCCTATCAAACCTAATATTACTAAATTGGCCCAACTATTTTTTTTATGTTTAATTAAAAGGTTTAAAGCTTAAAAATGAAACTAATAAAACTACTCAATCCCACCTCACCCCTCATCCTTACCTCCTCCCCTTCCATGTTGTTGAATCACAGCCATATATGCTAACAACATCATCTTCTTGGGGGTGCTTAACCATGAAGATTGCAACCACCTGAAGTTGCCTTCTTGGTCCAGAACTTTCTTTGAGATTCTCTATCCCAACTCCTCCATGTCTGAGCACCGAAAAAAGACGTAGTTCAACTAACAAAAAATGATGCAGTCCTGATGTATGCTGTTTTGAGAAGGCAAAACTCCAAAATAAAGATCAAGAAGTGGAGCAAATTTCTTTGTTTTAGTTCTTGCCTTTAAATGGAAATTGCATCTGAATAAATATTCAAACTAATGAATCGAAACTAGGAATGGAAAATGGATGGACCTTATACAAAATACTAACATGAGCTATTATCTAGCCACTAATACTGAAAACAAGGAAGATACTTAATCAAATTTAACAAACTCTCTTGCAGGTAATTTATTTCATTAGTCCCAGAATTGAGCAGGCTTTCAGATGGTGGTCTTCAGTTGGGCTGTCTTGATTTGGGCTTTTATCAAATGCCCCATCTTGTGCAACGAGCTCATCCTTGAGTGATAGTGTGGGTGATTCGTTGGGCTCTTCCCACTGTGGTAACGGGGTTGTTATTGGGTTCCCATATGCCTTTCGAAGTAATGAGACATGGAAGACATGGTGAATTCAAGCCTATGGCGTTAACCGTAGGCGGTTGGGGACTTTTCCAACTCTTTCACTGATTTTGAAAGGTCCAAAGTATCGTTTGGTTAAATTTTTTGTATCACGCTAGTGGATAGTCTTTTGGCGATATTCTTTGAGGCATAAGTAAACCATGTCGTCCACTTGGAACTCTTTTGTCGATCCTGTGTGTGCTGGCTAAGGATGTCATATGTTGTTGCGCCCTTTAAAGGTTATCTTTAAAAATTGTGTGGAGTCTTTGGTGTTCGTTGAGTGTTGTGTCTATTGAAGTAGTGGTGAAGGTCCTGGGAAGATAACGATTTAGGTCTAGAATGCGTTGACCGTAGAGAGCATGAAATGGAGGCTCTTCACTAGCAAACGTGTGAAGGTAGTTTTGGAGACATCTATTTATGACCTCCGTTTGTCCATCGGAATAGCGGGTGGTATGTGGTGGAGTACTTTAATGACGTGCCCAATTGCTTAAATAGTTCCTTCCAAAACACCACAAGGAATGATGCCTATACCGAAGACACTTTTACCAACTATACCGACGACATGTCGTCGATAAAGCCTATATCGACAACTTGTTGTTTGTACAAAGTCGTCGGTATAGCCCCGTCGGTAAAAGTGAAAAATGTCGTCGGGATAGTATTGTCGGTACAGAGCCCCCAATGCCGACGACATGTCCTCCTCAAAGGGTCGTCGGGACTGATTTTCGAGGGAAAATAAAAGTTTTATTATAAACCTATTCCGACTACCTATCGTTGGTACAAAGGTCACCTTTACCAACGACACATCGTCGGGACAGGGTTGGGCAATCCAGACGACATGTCATCTAGAAAAGCGGGTGACAGACCACTTCCATTTTAGTACTAGAGACGATATAGAATGGTGAGTAAAGGATATGATTCTATAGTTGAAGTATATTCGTTCCTTTTACCTTAACAGGAAAAGCGATATCTTTCGGCACCTCAAAGATTTGATGTTGACATTGATGTGCTAGTCCTAGCCCGGACTAAACAGATGTATTCAATTAGTAGTCTGAATCCAGTCATCATAAATTAGAAATCGAGGAATAGAATCTTGGACTATGACATTGATTTATATCCTTGTATCATGTCCACTGAATATCTTGTAGAATAAAGGAATAGTTGGTTATTTATCTAAGGGCCAACATTTGATTTTGTCAGAGTTCGGCAGTTTCTGTGGAAAGCACACTTTACTGGTTATTCAAAGTCTATATTTGTAATTGTAGTTGATGACTTATACAAGTGGAAGATTGTTGGAATATGTGTCTAAGGTCATAACTAAATTGGTAAAAGTCAAAACTAAATTAATATAAATTTATGGAATAAAAGTAAAGTCCTTCTGGGTTACTCTAGAAAGCTAGAAATGGCTTTAAGAGAGAGAGAGAGAGAGAGAGAGAGAGAGAGAGAGAGAGAAGTGATTTATTAATTTATTACATGATTAATAAATTAATTAGAAATAGTTGGAATTAATGGATTATTAATTAGAATTAATCTGGAATTAATTCGGGATTAATTAGATTTAATTAAATGTGGAAGGGATGAATTGTAATTGTTCAATAGTTGAACAAAATAAGAAATTCTAGAATAGTTCAAGGTATGTACGGTTTTCGGGTGTTATAGCCTCCTGATTAGTGATATGGTAAGGATTTAAATAAGATAACACTTGATTATTTTATTATTCAAATAAAGGCTTATCTTATATATTCACTAATTATAAATAGGACCCTTGGCATGTAATTTTTGTTCCTATACATTCAAGAACGATGAAATATGATTTTCATCTTGTATCCTCTCTCTCTAGTCGATTTCATGTGTTCTAAGATTTTGGGTGTGAACCATTAGAGAAATTCACACTATTGGATGTTTGCTTTTTCATGGAGCATTTGAAGACTCAAGAGTTAGTATATTTGAATATACTAAAGGGTATGTTTTAATCCTTATGAATTTCGATTATCAATAGGTTAGTTTGATTGTTTCATAAGTATGTTTCTATAACTTGAGAAAATTTCATAGTGTTCTAGGTTGCATGTACCCATAAGATTTTATGTAAATTACATTATGCAAATATCTTTGTTGTAACCTAGAAAACTCATCACTTTCAACCTCGAACTGAACGGTAAGGCCAACTTTTGGGTTCTTCATTGGTTGTCTCTTGAATATTATCAAGATCAGTATGGCTTCCACTAGTCCTTTTGGATATCAACTCCTTCACTTAGAAATTTCCCTTCGAGCAACAAACACTTTGTTCTCATAGGGTTTGTTACAAAACTACCGAAAAGGCTTGTTGGTTTCTCCAACTAGATAACACATCTCTATTCTAAGTTCTACATTGTCTAGCGCTTAACGATGCACCGCAAGCCTCATAATCGTAGACTCCCACATGTGCTTGTGAGGAGTGAATCCCAATTCACATCTTATAGAGTGTTTCATGGACCTTATTAGTTGGTACAAGACCAAAGAACTTCTTGTAACACTATTCATGGTACGGTCCATGAACTGTTAGTAAGTATAGTTCGACTCATCCAGTACAAAATCAATCAGTGATTTGTTTGTCTTTCCAACTAACACTATTTGTGGAAGTGTTCGGGTGGAGAAAGCTCGTTAATCTCTTTCATAGTTTGACTTAGATTTTCACTACCCCTATTGGATATGAGTGTCTCATCCAATTTCCTGGTTGATTCTTAACTTCATTTTATGAGAGTTCTGAATACCCGAAAGGTTCCAGACTTATGTTTATTCAGATAAACATGTTCATACCTTTTGAAGGTAATGAAGTTAGTCTTACCATGTATTGTGGTTAATCTGAACAATCCATTAGTGTGAACTAATTCCATCGAATATTCACATCACTAAGTGATTTATTCATCATCTATCTTGATAAACAATACTTGCATTTATAACAAGACTTGCGGTCAAATGATATCCAAAATCTGGTCCAACTGGATACTTGGTAAGAAATGCATTTCTCATTTATGTATCCAAGACTATGATTTCATAAATACATTTCGCCCGGTCCTTTTAGATGTATTTGAATTAGTACGTATTGTGGTCAATTTGGACGGCCTATTAGTAAAACTAATTCAACAGATATCTTGACTATAATATAGTGACCTTTTCATTTATCTTGACGAATATGATTTTCTTTTATCATAAGACTTGTGGTCAAATGAATTCCAAAATCCTATCCAACTGGATATTTGGTAATGCAATTCTCATTTACACATCCAAGAAGATGATTCTCCAATAATACATCTTATTCAAATAAGTTAGAACTATCTCATGAAACATTGTATAAACAAATTGAATTATAAGACCATAGACTAAACATTTTTGAAAAAGAATTTTCTTTTGATCCTATAAACAATAACAAGAGCTTGGTATTAATGATTAAATTATCTTCTTCATGTTTTAGTCTACACACTTCATATCAGTCACTGCATATTCTTTCAATTTTCAATACTCAAGCCTTAGTAAAATACTCAAAAGGATTAGAAGTAATTTCATCAGTATTATGAATTAATATATCTGATTGAAGACCAAACGTTTGGGGGGAACGACTTGTCTTTTGGTCCCATGGATAGTAGCATGGGCTCGTAATCTATGATCAAATTATATTCCCCATTTTTAGTCCTTTCACTTAAAATATATATTGGGAATTTATGCTTTATTGGTCCTTTTTTGTTTTGGTAGCCTATCATAACATGTCTTAAAATAAGCATGCCTTTGTTCCTGGCGTTTGTGGCCAAATTAGGTATACCAACACTTATCGCCCTTTTAACCATAGGCAACTAGCATTTTTCTTCTTGAAACTTCTATTCATCATAGTAAATATATGGGATTATTTGAAGTTTGAGTTTCTATGATTGGTCATTTTAATTCCAAAAGGAAACATCAACATACAACACAACTCCTCTGTGGACATCTCAAAGTTGTTCATATCAAAATCAGAGT